TATCTCGATTAGTTTTAGGTGATACGTATATTAAGCTCAAATTGAAAAACACATCAATTCTAATTATACAAGCTTAAAGGTTTATTCAATACTAAAAGAACAAGAACAAAAAAACAACAACAAATAAACGGTGTGATTTTCTAAACACAGTTAAACCAAAACATGTCATATTTTACGCGTCAAAAGTGAGTCAACACTTCTGTTTAAAATTAAAATAAAAGAATAAATGTATATTTTTATGCAATTTAGTATTTGGTTTGGCCTCCTTTAGCCTTAATTACTTCTTCTTGGCTTCGTGGCATCGACTCTATCAGCTTTTTTGTGTACTCCACTGGTATTTTTCTCCACTCCTCCAGCAATACAGCTTTAAGGGACTCTTTACTCGATTTGTTTTTGTTTTTTCGCATTTGCCGGTCCAGAAAGTCCCATATATGCTCAATCGGGCTTAGGTCTGGGGATTGAGGGGGATGGTCCAGCTGCTGTGGTGTTCGATATAGTAGCCATTCCTTCGCCAAGCGTGAGGTATGCTTGGGGTCATTGTCTTCTTGGAAGATCCAATAATTAGACAAGTCCATTTTAGCAAGGCTTGGAGCAACATTGCTTTTTAATATCTCCAAGTAACCTCGCGCATTCATTGTAGATTCAATAAAAGCAAGTTCACCAACTCCGGAAGCTGCAAAACATCCCCAGACCATTACCGAGCCTCCACCATGTTTTACCGTAGTTTGTAGATTTGGTTCATTGTATTCTGCGTTCTTTTTTCGCCAGACTTTTCTGTGCTTTTCTGAACCAAAAATCTCAAATTTACTTTCGTCACTAAAAAGGACAGTGCTCCAGAAAGAAAAATCTTTGTTTTTGTATTTTTAACTGTATATTATTTGCCTTACTTCCCTTTCATTGAGCCGTTTTGGTCGGCCTGATCGGTTAAAAATTTCTAATTGCTTATGGTTTTTAAATTTATCCACGATTTTTTTTTATAGATGTGGGATGTCTTCCAACAATTTTAGAAATTTGTCGCAAAGATTTTCCGTTCTTCTTTAAATCAATAATGATTTTCCTGGTTTCCAAGGATATTTCGGTTCTCATGATTTAATATATGTGACCTGGTCTACGGAAAGGGGGCTTAGGTGTCAAAAAATCCAAAAAATCGATTTTCACTTTTAAGTTGATTCGGATGGAAGATGAGATTTTTAACAGCTGTTTCCCAGAAAACTAGTTTTTGCACGTTAGCTCCCTTTTCGTAGACCAGGTCACATATACATATTAATTTGTTTAGCTGACTGACCGTTTCACTTTAAATAACAACTACGAATGAAGAAGGCAAATGCCGAATTTAATTTACCAACCAATGTGCATGCAAAAACTTGTTGAAATATATGTATATGAAATGTATTTCCAATAAATTAATTTTAAACAGAAATGTTGACTCTCTTTTGACGCGTAAAGTATGACATGTTTTAGTTTAACTGTATTTAGAAATCACACCGTTATTTGTTGTTGTTTTTTTGCTCTTGTTCTTTTAGTATTGAATAAACCTTTATGGTTGTATAATTAGAATTGATGTGTTTTTCAATTTGAGCTTGTAATTATACGAAAACCAAACTTTCCATAGGTGTTGACTCACTTTTGACTCTCATAGTATATTATTTCTTTGGCACATTTGTCTGTATGTTTACGAAAGCAAATGCGAGCCACATACATATGTACATATTTTCATAATAACTACTGCCGCACGCATCTTTTCGCATCTCCGTTGTCACGGTCAAATAATGGCCGAAGCTGACGGGAGAAAATCCAAGCTATGCCGAAAAAAATAAACGGCCATTCGTCGATTGTCACCTTCGCCTACAAACTAGCGTAAATATGTATGCATATGTATGAGCTTGCATACATATCTACGCTGATTTTTGCGAGCCACGGAAAAATATTTTAACAAGGATACAAACATACATATGCGTACACATGTGAATATGTCACCAACAAAAAATTTAAGCCTTGTTCTACAAAAACAACAATTGTATAAATAGCAGAATAGCATCACAAGTCAATATGGCAGCCGAATTGGCGAAGCCCAAATGTAGTAAATTGTCAACAAAAACGATTTCATTCATAAACGCAAGCGCAAGTTTCACAAGCGACCTCGCTTCATTCATAAAACATCTGTAACATCTCCCGGAGCATGCCTTTGCCTTCAAGCGTTTTTTCGCGAAGACGGCAAAAGCTAAAAATCATAAATTGAAGATCTTTCTGGTGTTTGTTCTAAAAAAGAAGTGAGAAAAGTGGCAACATAGCTGTTGTCGAGTATTTGTCAATTCTAAAATATTAAAAATCTGCGTCAATATGTTTGCAAGCTTATACCTATGCTTACATAATTATGCTAGTTTGTTGGCAAAGCTATTAGAGCGACAAGTTAAGCGGTGACAATAGACGATCGTGTGCTTATTCTTTCGGCACATCTCGGATTTTCTACCAACAACACAATGCTGTGTCGCTTTGACGTCGCGTCAGTCCTTCGACAGACTGACACGTTGACATGAAAACAAAAAGCGCGAGCTTTGCCATTGGTTATCCGTGTCATATCATAAATTACACAACTTTCTGGTGCTTCTCGCAAAAATCTGCGTCGATATATATTCACGATCATACGTATACATACATACATATTTACGCACGTTTGTTGGCGAAGCTGTTACAGCGGCAAGGGAAGCGGTGACAATCGGCGGCCATTACTTTATTTTTTCGGCACAACTCCGATTTTMTACCAGCAAGACACTTGTCGTGCGCTTCGGCCTTGGTTGCACGTGACAACATAGATGTCAAAAGATCTGTGCGGCCATTATTGGTTGTTTGTACATATGTGGCTCGTATTTGCTTTCGCAAACATACAGACAAATGTGCCAAAGAAATAATATATGTATGTATATGCCATTGAAATTCTATTGGTACAAATATGGAAATGATAACGAAATAATGCGAATTTTCTTTGAAGAAATAAAGTTCATTTGGCGCACCTTCACTTTGTAAGAGTAGACATAATAAATATAATTTGTTTGAAATATTAATTTATTTAAAAATTAAAAAATAAAGGTAGAGAGATTTTGTAAAAAAAAAATTAAAAATGATACGAAATAATCACTCATATGTGACAATGGTTCATATAATTCAATATAAGCATGCATATGTCACTCAGAGAATGCTTTTATATTTATATTTTTCAACAAAGCTATTCTCTTTATTTATTCTCAGCCATTTTACGCATATTTCTGCCACGCACGTGCTCAATTCTGCTAAATAGCAGCGAGAACGGCGAATTCCTTACCCAAATTCTATCAGCTCTGTTAACCGTCGAATCGAACATTATACAGATTTCAATTTGCACCTTCTCTATGTTTTAAGTTCTCTGGATAAACGTTCTCTGCTTTTACGTTCTCTGGTTCTTGTCTGAAACGCTGGAAGTAATTACGAAAATGAAATTGCGAAGCAACATTCGAACACATCATCGCTTGGTTCATGTTCCGACTGCATTCGAACTTGGAGATATCAGAGCACGTATATCAAATATCGTACTTTTTTATTTTTGACTAAATCTTCAGGAGTATGTTCAATTTGTGATACAAATTGTTTTGATTTTATTAGGATTAGGTCAGCATAACGTCAGAAAACGTCTATCATAGAGAAGGTTCACGGCGCGGAGATCGTAACTTTTCCGCGCCGTGAACCTTCTCTATGATAGACGTTCTCTGCTCTGGTTCTACGTTCCTGCCTTTTCAGCTCAGAATGGCTGAACACCGATTTCTGCTGTGGTGACTTCGAATTTATTTTGGTTCTTGTCTTAAGCGCTGGAAATAATTACGAAATTAGAACAACGAAGCATAATTCGAACACTTTAACATTTGATTCATGAAATTTGAACTTAGTGAAATTTGAGAACCATTCTGGCTGAATGCCGATTTCAGTTTCGAATTTTATGGTTCTTATTTTAGCAATAAACAATTTCGAAAACTTCGGTAGTCATCAGTACAGGTGAAGTATTTTAAATTTCTCATCCATATAAGAATGTCAGCAGTTATTAAGCTGATCTTAAAAATATCGAAGCAATTATAATTGTCCCATTCATAAAACAGAAAAGGAAATAAAACAATTAATTGGTTTGGTGAGGTTTCGACTTACATAAGTGTATCCAAAACTTTTCATAAATAACTAACGTAACGACTACAATTCCTCCCCAAGATATAGAGCAGATATGCATGTTTGATATAGCTGCAAGATAGAATGATCTGATTTCAATTAAGAACCTGAGATAACCTTAAATGATAATCACAATTGTTCTACAAAGTTTGATAAGTTCCAATAACATAAATGAATCAAATTCTTAAGAGATAACAGTAAGAAAACCACACAGATTTTCATAAAAGGGTAAACTGTTATTATGAAAAATAACCTTGTGTGCAATAATTCCACTATACTACAGTATCTCAAAAAGAGCGCTACCCGATGGGATACCGACTTCTTCGAAACAGCACTGTGTTCATGCATTAGACTCACTGTATCCAAAAGACAAATTTCCGGGAACGGCTTAACCGTAGATATTTTTAATCAGAACGCTTATAGAAATTAATTTTTAGGCAAATATTGAAACTAAACAATAGTTAAGCTTCAATTAATTTCATCTTATGAATTCAAACCCTTACTAGTGCCCAAACCCTATCAGGTAAACACGATACCACCACAGTGTTAAATTTTCAGGCAGAGATCCTAAGTAGCTCGTCCAGCGCCTACCCTTAAATTCGTACTCAATTAATAGATTTTAATAGTCAGCATGAAGGCATTAACAAGAAAACTGCTTTACTACTTTCACTCACCAGGTGTAAAATCCTTAACCTAACTTCAGGTAAGACTTTCTTACTAATATATATATACACCGAGGGTAGTCGTTTTAAATTACTAAAATTTCATTAAATTTTACCAATTTATTATTAAAACAAAAAATATTCGTACAAGATTATTCATTAAGCTCCTCGACAGTAGTAATAATTCATAAGAAATAAATTTAAAAGTATGCACATGAATATGCTTATATTTGCGACTTAATATTGGACGCATATACCCAATCGTTCAGTTTATAACACTATCATTTTTTTTACCATCTTAGTTAGAATTCAAGGAAACCAATTTCGGCGGTCTTTGGTTCAGAGTACTGAGAACCTCGTGGGACGAGAAGAGTAGGGTATTCAGTCTCTACTTTCACTTTGTTTTCGCACCTAACGAAATCCTTTGTATAATTCGTTTCTTCACTACTAGTATCCCAAACCACTATGGCATTTTTTCCAAACTTAGAAATGGTGCGCAAAAGATCACGTCGAGCATGAACTGCTTCTTCATTGCATTTAAATATTATTTGATATTCGAAATAACCGGGAAATATTTCGCGTCCCACTAATTTGTCAAAAGCTATTAGGTTACGTAACATTTCATAAACATTCTGTGGCGAGATGCAATAAGTTTTCTTCAGTAAAAGTTTTGAAGAGTTTCGTGATTGACGAACGCGAATCATGGGTAATGAGTGTTGTCGAAAAAGAGCCGGCAAGCTACAATAAATTCAAGACATTAGTCGAATATTTATTACGAAGATTAACAAATTTTTACCGAATTATAGCCAGCTGCATGAGTGTGGGATTTATGAATTGAAGATAAGCAAAGCCTCTTGAATTCCCAGAGAAGGTTACTTTGTATCTCAGTATATATATCTCACCTATTAATGCAGCGATTTCGGCAATAGATTCTGCTGGAATTTCCGGCGGTATGCCGCTAAGAAATATCTGAAATGGATCGATTTATAAAATCACGATTAGTAATACTTTTTTTTTTTATATTACCTCGCCTGTGCATGCATTTAGCTCATCTTGAAGCGCATCTGATATCGGTTTTAAACTTTTAAGATATTTAGTGCCATTTTCCTGGTACGATTCGTATTGTGTTGATGGAAACTCAAATGGAGAACGACGATACTGAATTAATGATTGATGTTGTTGATCTGCAACCCAACCTGCTGGATTCGTTTCAGCTTTAAAATAGATATTCATTGTAATTCTTTTCAAAATTCAGAAACCACTTTTATTGTGAAAATAAAAAAAATTGTCTAAGCTTTCTTAAGAATTTTCGAGGCGCTTTGTGCTATATATTCCTTTCTTTTTATTCTGCAACTTATAAATTCTCAGAAGTGTTTAAGGAATTTCTGGGGCGTTTCTTTGAATTTCGTTTGCATATTATATACTTACTTCCATGCATAGTTATCTGCACGTGTCTACTCACATATCTACAAATGTGTGTATGCATGCATATATATACATATGAATATGAAGTACATACCTATCATTTAAATTAGTAGTGATATAGGCACGTTCATACATAAGTATGTATGTATGTTTCGATTTTCAGTTTACAAATAATGGTGCTCCTAAATAAAAAAATTTCTAATTTCTTTCTACAAAATCTTAACTTCTTGGACAAAGTTGTCAAAAATTAATTTGCCTTTCTTATTGTCTCAAAATTTAGATCACATGAAGTAGGACCTAAAAGATTTAGAATTTTAATTTTTGTAAGCAAAAAATGGGAATATACACTTTGCTCACAGCACAAAGGCCTTCACGTATCTTTTTGTAACTGAGAACGCAGATAAAGTAATTTTTAAGGACCACCTCAATGAGCATACACATGCATACTTACATACCATATATACATACATATGTAAATAAGCCCAACCTAATTGGTCCATTTGAAACCGGGTATGTATATAAATTCGAAAATAAGTATGTAGATATATATACATATATAAATATGTATGTATGAATGTAAGCTAGTAAAAAGTGCCTATTAAAAAACAAGCAACGAGTAAGAAAATGAAGTTCGCGTGCAACCGAACATTTTATACTCTTGCAACTTGCAAGAATCAAAGCCGGGGAAATACTTTAAGGTGCAACCCGTTAATCAGAGGATTGGAAACTCGAGAGACCTCGAGTTAAGGAAGGAAATTTTTCTTCGATTGCTAATTCAAGAGTTCGTGTTATTGAAGTTCGAATTAGGGAATATGGMAGTTCCACTGTATATATATGTATTAGGGTGATTAAAAAAATCTTTTTTTTT